AGACTTTCTGCTGAGTGGAGAGCTCAGTGTGGGCCTCCATCCCAGGACCCAGGATCATGACCTGAGCCAAAGGCAGATGCTTAACTGACTGAGCCACCCAGGGACCCCTAGTCTGGCAGTTTTAAGTCACTCTAGTTCATCTGTGTTGAGTGAGAGGAAAACTGAAAAAAAAAAAAAATGTCCTCCTTTTGGTATTATGCTGAGTGAAGTAAGTCAATCGGAGAAAGACAAACAGTGTATGTTCTCATTCATTTGGGGAATATGAATAATAGTGAAAGGGAATCTAAGGGAAGGGAGAAGAAATGTGTGGGAAATATCAGAAAGGGAGACAGAACATAAAGACTCCTAACTCTGGGAAACGAACTAGGGGTGGTGGAAGGGGAGGAGGGTGGGGGGTGGGGGTGAATGGGTGACGGGCACTGAGGGGGGCACTTGATGGGATGAGCACTGGGTGTTATTCTGTATGTTGGTAAATTGAACACCAATAAAAATTAATTTATTTAAAAAAATGTCCTCCTTTTAATTGAACAAACTGTGGCCTGCCCTTGAATGACCCTTCTGTAGCTTATCCACTGTGGTAAGTTACTGTAAACAATATTTACTCTTTTCCTCTTTTATCTCCATGAAAGAAATATCCTTCTCCCACTCCTTTACTTCACTTTGGCCATGTGACTTTCTTTGGCAGATGGGACACAAACAGGGGCTTGAAATGTGCTTGGGTGGTTGGGCTCACCCTCCTGTACTTGTGTCATCACCATGAGAAGAGCATGTCTTGACTAGGCACTGGTCTAAGGAGGGGGAAGACACACAGAGCAGTTGCCCAGCTGACCTGCAGCTACGTGAGATTGAATGATTGTCCAAGGAAGGCGAAGATTGTCCAAGGAGGGGGAAGACACAGAGCAGCTTCCCAGCTGACCTGCAGCTATGTGAGATTGAGTGATTGTCCAAGGAGGGGGAAGACACACAGAGCAGCCACTCAGCTGACCTGCAGCTATGTGATATTGAGTGATTGTTATTTTAAGGTACTGGGTTTTGGGGAAAGTTTTAACAAACTTTAACAAACAGAGTTTTTGTTGCAATAGTTGACTGATGTATATATCAATAATTTCACAGCCAGGTTTTCTAAAGTTGTTTCAGTTCCCAGAAAATACCATTCTTGACACTTAGAGATACAGATATAATACTTTCATGTGGGCTTCTAGATCAAATGGCATGGTATCCTTCAGACAAATGCTAATATATTTTTTTTCTCATTTCTGACATGGTGTTTCCTGCTAAGTATTGTGAGTGCTCCAGGGAAATGTGATGTCTCTATGTGCACAGGTACTTACTTGATTCCAGGCTCAGAGGAATCTGTAATTCCTAAATCTATCACTGTGCCATGGATTGCCCAAAACTTGAAGGTTGTGGGCTATATCAGTCAGGGACTCAGCAAGTCACAGAGAGTACACTCAGCTTTGTTTGTAAAGTTTTTTTTTTTTAAAGGTTTATTTGAGAGAGGGAGACAGCTGCACACACACAAGAGAAAGAGGGAGAGAAAGCACGTGAGCATGAGCAGGTGTTGGAAGGGCAAAGGGAGGGAGAGGTAGAAGCCAACTCCCCATTGAGCAGGGAGCCCGAAGTGGGGCTCCATCTCAAGACCCTGGGGTCATGACCCCAGCGGAAGGCAGACGCTTAAATGACTGAGCCACCCAGGCGCCCCATGTAGAGGCTGTTTAATAAAGGAACTATTTACAGAGATATGTGTAGGGTTAGAGGAGCCCAGGAGGGAGGAATCAGAGACTACCATCAGTGGGGAGCAGTTGCAATCCTCAGCCTGAACAGCGGGGGGAGACCACCCTGTTATCAGAGCCCAGTTAAGAGCTAAAGTCAGAGGGACTCTCAGATGGTAGCTGTAGTTTGGTGATAAGGCCATAGAGAAAAACACAGTGAAGTAGAGTGGGTGGGAGGGAATAAATGCCCTGGCATCTCTCTCCTCCCACACTCTGACCTCCTGCTGGTGACTCCTACTTGCTAGGCAGTGACATAGTCCATTGAGGTCAGCTTCCCAGGGCAAAGAACACAGCAGAGGGAAACAGAACTGATCTGGGGAGAATCAAAGAATAATCAGAATACAGGCATATCTCAGAGATATTGTGGATTCAGTTCCAGACCATCACAATAAAGGGAATATTGCAATACTGTGAGTTAAATGAATTTTCCTAGTGCATATAAGTTATGTTTACCCCTAATCTATTAAGTGTATGTAATAGCATTATCTAAAAAAAAATGTACATACTTTAATTAAAAACACTTTATTGATAAAAAGTGCTACTGATCATCTGAGTTTTCAGTGAGTTATCTTTTTGATGGTGGAGGGTCTTGCCTCTCAGTGTTGATGGCAGCTCAATGATCAGAATGGTGCTTGCTGGAGGTTGGGGAGGCTGTGGTAATTTCTCAAAATAAATTCTACCATATCAACGACCTCTTCCTTTTACAAATGATTTCTCTGTAGCATGTGATGCTGTTCGATATGATTTTACCCACCACAGAACTTTTCTTTCAAAATTGGAGTCAAGCCTCTGTAATTCTGCCACTGCTTTATCAAAGTTTATGTAATATTCTAAATCTGGTTGTCATTTCAACAGTCTTCACAGCATCTTCATCAGAAGCAAATTCCATCTCAAGAAACCACTTTCTTTGCTCACCCATGAGAAGCAACTCCTCTGTTAGTTTTACCATGAGACTGCAGCAATTCAAATATAATAATGAAAAAGTTTGAAATATTGCAAAGGATTATAAAAATGTGAGCCAGAGACCCCAAAATGAACAAACACTGGGAAAATGGTGCTGATAAACTTGTTTGAGGGGTTGCCACAAACCTTCTATTTGTAAAAAATGAAGTATCTATGAAGCACAATGAAACACAGTATCACTGCAGATGTTTGTTAAATCTAGACCCGGTTTCCTCAGGAAGAAAACATGGTGTGGAGGGAGGGCAAGAAGGGGGTTATGTTTATAAGGATATTGGTTAGGAAAACTGTACAGTCTTTCATTCTTAATTTATTAGCAAAAAATATGGAGAATTAAATAATCTGTGATCGGACCAGTAGGTTTCATTGCACTGTGTTATGCTGATATCAATAATTTCTCTAAAGGCATCATGAGATAAGCATATGGCACTAGAAGGCATCAGTGAAATTAGTATTAAAGCATCTGGAAGATAATTATTTTGAGGAGGGGATATGGCACTAAGCTTAGGCCTGAATTTATGGATTTGGAATTGGGATTTAAGATGAAATATTTTAATGGATAATGAAGCAAAGCATATTTGGTGCCAGAAGATATCTAATACCTTGTGCCATGAAACTCTGACACAGTTTTAATTTTGTGCTACTCTTGTGTTTTCTTGACCTATAAAAATGTTATGTGGAGTTATTTACTAAACTTAACTCATGACACATCCATAAGCCCAAGCTTGCCAAAATATTTTAGGTGGGTATGTGGGGGGCAAGGGATGCTGAGGACTCCTGCGTCCATATACATGCACACCTATACACCAGCATCAGCGATCTTTCTTCAGCAAAATTACACTTCCTTCCCATTTTTGTTTCCAAAAAATGGGCTAAAGTGAGTAAAATCAAAATATCAACATGTTGAGGATATCTTTTATTATACACAGAAGTATTTTAATATGCTGGGAAACAATAGTATACATTATTACCAATTGGCTTTGAAAAATCGATTCGCTGACTCTTCATCTAAACTCAAATATGTGAGACACACATCCTGGTTTTGAGATTACTCCTTAAACTAGATCTTTACCTCAGAAGAATTCTCAATAACATTTTGGAGATAATGCTAGGTAAATTTAATGAAATGAATTCTAGGTCTTTAGGAATGCTGGATCTGAACTATTTAAAGTATTAGAAGCTTTACTAACAATATGTTTATACCAATATTTTATTAGTGAGTTTGCTTGGTATTATTAAGCTAGCCTACACTGGGTTTCTCCAGAACAGGCCCTGAGACTAGGACCAAGGTTAGGAGTTTATTTGGAAGACTATCTCAGGAAACGGTGGGAGAGGGGACAGTGAGCCAGGGAAGGGAAGGAAGCCAGTAGATGAATTTATGAGTATGTTATACCTGTGGGGAACTTGGGCTCATTTCCACTGTGCTACTCTGGGAAGTGGTGTAGAGCAGACCCGAGAGTTGTCTCACCCAAAGGATAAGAAAGATGGAGGGCTTAGCCACTAGCTCCCACCTGTCATGAGTTTGAGGCTGTTCCCACTTCCAGCCCGCCGGGCACCAAGAATGCTCCTGTGGGGAGAGCTAAGGGATGCAGATATTGGCAGCAGAAAGCTTATCAGCATGCATAGGGATGCTGAGTGACCAGGGGATATAAATGGTGTGCCAAAAGCACCTACTCAGAGGCATAACTGTTTATAAACACACTACTAAAGCTTCTTTTTAATGGGAGGAAACCAAAAGGCCAGCAACCGAGGGTGGAAAGATAGGAGAAGCATAAACTGTAACCCTTCTGATAGCAGTCCTAATCTCTTCCCACACAGGATCCTCCTCGACCCCCAGGCAATCCCTGGAGGTCAGACTAAAGGAAGCCTGAGAACATTTTTTGCTTATCTTCTCAGCAGACATTGGGAGCAGGTCAAGGAAGAAGCTTTACAGAACACAGCAAGAGAATGCGATGCTTTTCTAGTCAATGGTAACTTGAGAGTCTATATTCCAAAGAAATTATATACTTCTATATATTATTAGGTTGTTTACATTTTATTGTTTTATTATGTTTATGTTTATATGTTCATATTTTATTTATTTATTCATGAGAGACACAGAAACATAGGCAGAGGGAGAAGCAGGCTCCCTTCAGAGAGCCCGCTGTGGGACTCGATCCCAGGACCACCACCTGAGCCAAAGGCAGAAGCTCAACCATGGAGCCACCCAGGTGTCCAGAAGTATTTCTTTCTCATGCTGTAAACTGTAATCACCCTATTTCTCTACAGGCTTGAAAGCCACAGGATTATCCCTTCAAAGGGAAATACTGAAGCTGAGGTGCTTACTGTTCTTCAAGAAGATTTCCACGTGGTACTCCCTTTTAGATTTTATGGTAAGCCCCTGTCTCCACAGGAGTCCCAGCCCTACGAGCTTCTGACCCCGGTAACATAAAAATGAATGAGCAAATACGACTTGGGCTGTTTTTATTTCCAAAATTGGGAATTGGAGGAGGGTAAAGGAAAAGAGTTTTCCCTGCCTTAAGTTTCAAGGGCACTGCGAAAAGACAGTGGCTGATGCTGATTCTGGAAAACTGTTTCTCATAGAGCTTTCAGGCTGATTTCCTCAACTCCTAACTTTTTGGGAGGAAGGATTCCTTTCAATAAGGTGAGGACTAGATAAGGTGTAAGTAGCTAACTAGAAAAGGGTGGTAGATAGTAAGTGTTCTGGACAAGGGAACCACGTGTGAAAAATACATTAGGCCAAAGGGATAAGCTCATGAAAACACGCTCAATATCTTTAGTCATTACAGAAATGCAAATTAACACTAAATTGAGATACTACTTTACATCCACTAGAGTAGCTAAAAAAATTTTTTTTTAGATTTTGTTTATTCATGAGTGAGAGAGAGAGAGAGAGAGAGGCAGAGACACAGGTAGGGGGAGAAGCAGGCTCCATGCAGGGAGCCCAACGTGGGACTCGACCCTGGGCTGAAGGCGGTGCTAAACCACTGAGCCACCCGGCTGCCTGAGTAGCTAAAATTTAAGACTGACAAATCCCAAGTGTTGATGAGGAGGCAGAGCAATTAGAACTCATATATACTGCTGATGGGAGTGTAAAAGTGTGGTACAGGGTGGGGTAGCCTCTTATAAAGTTAAACATATACCTACCTTATAGTCCAGCAGCTGTAGATCTAGGTCACTGTCCAAGATAAGTGGGAATATATCCTTCACAAAAGGATATAAAGAATGTTCATAGCAGTTTTACTCAAAATAGCCCCAAACTGAAAACAACCCAAATGTCCATCAACATGAGGATGGGCAAACAAGTTGTGGTATTATTTTACCACTCAGTAATAAAAAGGATGCATTAGTGTACTGATCCCTGCAATGAAATGACTGAATCTCACAAACTTAATGCTGAGAAAAGAAGCCAGACACAAAAGGGTTTAGAAATACTGTATGTTTCCACTTATATGAAGTTCTAGAATAAGCAAAACCCACCTAAGGTGAGAAAAAGCACTGGATGCTTTTGGGGGACTTGAGGAGTTACCTCGGGATGAAGGAAGACTCTTTCAAGAGATGGAACTCTGGTAAGGGCACAGGTGTATCTAGTTGTCAAAACTGTTGAATTAATTGTGCATTTCAGTGTATGTAAATTTTACCATAAAAACTCTAAAAAATAATAATAATCAAATGGAGGGGCTAGGGAGTGGGTCGTATAAATAAAACAAGAATGGTAGGATATTCATACTTGAAGTTGAGTGATGAATAAAGTGGGGCTCATTACACTATTCTGTTTGCGTTTGAAATTTTCTACACACACACAGGCACTCATACAATGTTAAAAACCCAGTAAGCAAGATCATCAAAAGGCTTTTAGGCACCTGAAAATAGTGCAGGATGGCTGAAGTGGAGAGTGTCTTTTCTACTCTTTCATCTAGTACAAATCTTCCAGACAATGGTGGACTAAAGATACCAAATCTCTTAGTCACATCTCACTTGAGAACATGGACGGTTTCAACGATAAGCTAACATGAACAAAAAGCTATGGTGGAAAAACAGACATTTGTATCTCTTGTGTAAACATACCTTACCAAACATTGTTCCTTAAGGTACTTTGCAGCAGTTGGAACAAGAATTTAAACAGGAGCCATTTAGCTACCATGGAATATGGACATATTTGCTGGTACAGGCTCAGACCAGCATAATCCCCTTTCTTAACCTGGTAAAGCTTCTGAAGTTGCAGTAACTAAAATACACCACACCAAATCAAAATCTAATTTTAAAAGTCATCAATGTCTTATAAATAAAAAATCATGTCTGAAAATATATAGTATGCCCAATAAATCATCAGTGATGAAAGTCACTTCCTACTTTAAAATAGATTAATGCCAATGTTGTGAATGTTTCATAAGGGTCGATGTTAAATTTCCTTCATCTTTTTTTTTTTTTTTAAGATTTTATTTATTTATTCATGAGAGACAGAGAGAGAGAGAGGCAGAGACACACAGGCAGAGGGAGCAGCAGGCTCCATGCAGGGAGCCAGACCTAGGACTCTTTCCCGGGTCTCCAGGATCAGGCCCTGGGCTGAAGGTGGCGCTAAACCGCTGAGCCACCCGGGGCCGCCCCAAATTTCCTTCATCTTAATGCAATACAGTTGTGTGTGTGTGTGTGTGTGTGTGTGTGTGTGTGTGTGTGAGAGAGAGAGTGAGAGAGAGAGAGAGAGAGAGAGAGAGATTGAGAGAGAGAGAGAGAGAGCACTCAAGGTTTTGTATAGACTTGTTAGAGTGAATCACAGATTGCCTGTGTCTCTGCCTCTCTCGCTCTCTGTCTCTCATGAATGAATAAATAAAATCTTAAAAAAAATTCTATTAGCTGCATCGATATTGAATACTCCAGAGAACTTTATCTTGACAATTTACACAATGTTATACAAATTCAGAATTGTTCAAAATGTTTCCAGTGCATTAGTAGAAATATACTTTTGCCCCATGGAGATTACCATATTGGAACATGATGACATCTTCAAGATTGTGGAAAATACTGCCAATTCACCGCTTGCCTATGCTTCCCGACCCAGTATCAGAGTAGATAATGAACAACTCAAGACTTTTTTCTCTATTTTTTTTCTCGCCCACATCGTTACTTGGGTGCCATCATACTCTTGATACCAGTTTGTTTTGTTGTGTTTTAAAGTAGCATGTTACAATCCATTAGTGGTTGATGGAGTCAACTTAATGGGACACAATTAGCATTTTTAAAAATGAAATTAACTAGATTAGAAAATGGTGTACAACATATATAGTTAGGGAAGGACTATTTTGTGAAATTTTTGTTTCAGTCAGATACATATGTGTGTACACTGGGTGACTATAAAACATTCATTACTGTCAATCACGGTCAAAAACACTTGAGAGTGAATGACTCTCACAGGGTCTTGTGAGGACTTTAATGCTCTGATTACTTTTTTCTCAACCTACATGTTTCTTGTCTACTACTTTAATGCTCATTTTTAGAACCACACAAATGAGACATTATCATTATCACTTATATTGTACAATGTCTGGACTTACCTACATGTTTTTTAATTTCTATGCATCTGTGAAAAAAAATTTTTTCTTTCTTAGGGAAGGGGGAGAGAGAGAGAGTGTATGAATGTGGGCAGCATAGGGGCAGGGGCAGCGGGAGAGGAAGAGAGAATCTTAAGTATGCTCCATGCCCCATGTGGAGCCTGATGCTGGGCTTGATCCCACAACTCTGAGATCATGACCTGATCTGAAATCCAGAGCTGGATGCTTAAATGGCTGAGCCACAAGGCTCCCTTGAACTGTTTTGTATTGTGGCAAAATTCATAACTTAAAATTCATAATGTTAGCCATTTAAATGCATATAATTGGGTGACAGTACATATATGATGTTGTGCAACCATCACTTCTATCTGGTTCCAGAACATTTTTATTATCCCAAAAGGAAACTCCATGCCAATTAAGCAGTCACTTTGCATTCCTTCCTCTCCCCAGCCAATGGCAACCAGTAATCTTCTGTCTCTTTGGATCTGCCTATTCTGGATATTTCGAATGGAATCATACAATATGTGACCTTCTGTGCCTGGCTTCTTTCACTCAGCATAATGTGGTTATTGTGAATAGTATCACTATGAACATTTGTGTACAAGTATCTGTTTGAATACCTTTTTTCAATTTAGGGGAGGATATAATTAGAAGTGAATTTGCTGTTTCATATGATAATGCTATGTTTAACTTTTGAAGGAACCACCAATTTTTTTTCCATAGCAGCTGCACCATTTAAAATTCCCACAAGCAATATGCAAGGGTTCTAATTTCTCTACCTTCTTCCCAACACTTGTTATTTTCCATTAAAAAAAAATTATAGCCATCCCACTAAGCACGAAGTGGGCATCTCACTGCAGTTTTGATCTGCATTTCTCTAATGACTAATGATGTTGAACATCTTTTCACGTGTTTGTTGGCCATTTGTGTATCTTCTTTGGAAAATGTCTATTCAATTCTTTGTCTCCATTTTTTAACTGGGTTGTCTTTTCATTGTTGAGTTGTATAATTTCTAAATTCTGAATACTAGACACAAAATTTATATGATTTACAAATAATAGCTTCCATTCTGTAGGATCTCCCCCCCCTTTTTTTTGGTTCTTTCAATTTTTGATCATGTCCTATGAAGCACAAAAATCTTCAATTTTAAAGTCCAGTATTTTTGTTTGTTTGTTCGTTGCTTGTGCTCTTTGTGCTGTATCTAAGAAACCATCCCCAAATCCACAATCATGGAAACTTACCCCTATGATTTCTTCCAAGGGTATTATCCTGAACTTGTTTCTAGAACCATTTTTCTTTTTAAGGTACATTCTTTTTTTTTTTTTTTAAAGATTTATTATTTGAGAGAGAGCAGTGGGGACGGGCAGAAGGATATGGAAAGAGAGCCTTAAGCAGACCCCATGCTGAGCGTGGAGCTGATCTCCAGACCCTGAGATCATGATCTCAGCCAAAACCAAGAGTCAGATACTTAACTGTGTCACCCAGACGTCAAAAAGAACGTTCTTTAAAAATACCTTTACATGAGGTTTCTTGGTTGAAAATGCAATCTATCTTTATCTGAAAGTGTCTTTACTGCCTTTGTCCTTGAAAAATAGTTTTGTTAACTCCATGAATCTAACTTGACCATCATTTTCTCTTCAGAACGCTGACGATATTCCACTGTGTTCTGGTTTCCATTGTTGCTACTGAGAAACTGATACCTACTTGTCCTCCTTTGTAAATTATTTACTTTTTTTTCCCCTCTGCCTATTTTTAAGATCTGCTCTTTGTCTTTGCTATTCTTTGGTTTTACGATCATACATCTGAGTGTGACTTTCCTTTTA